TATATATATATATAAATAAATATACAAATAAATATAAAAATATATAATTAAATATATACAGTATATATAAAATAATATATATATATATATATATAGATATATCAATAAATACAGTACATATATATAAATATATCTGTATGTATGTATCTGTATATCTGTATTTTAACAACATCTCTATCAGCGCTGCATACTTCCGGATCGACGATTCGAAAAAGTGTATGTATTGCGCATGACTGGACTACACAGGCAAAGCTTCCCGGTGAAAAAAAAGGATTTAAAATGTATGACTCGCATGGCTCGTGCATTGGCTCGCATGACTCGCTGGCTCGCACTTTGTCACGACCCCATTACTTCTTGATGAAGCCGATAGCAAAAGCACCAAAAGATAACTTAAATATATCTTATCAATATTTGACAAATATTGCAAGGCAAGGGTGCTACTGAAATTGAGGAAATATGCAAATATGAGCTAGACACCCTTTGAATTGATCGCCTGGCCCTAGGCCTAGCATAGCAGTCGATAGGAAGTAGTAAGCCTAGGCCTCTAATAACAGGCTATATAAAATAAATATTGACTCTCTAAATTCGGGAAGCAGTGAAATATATTTCCCCTCGATACCTCAAGGTAATAGATTTCACCATTCCCCTCATGAGTAGTCAATATTTGTATAACATAACTTTTTTTGTTTTCGTATTTAAGCATACCATCTGTCTTAAAAAGAGTTGTATGTGAGAATTTACTTTGTTGAGAATACTCTTGACAATGGTTAGCTTATTGTCAAGACATACAGTAGTCCTAAGTATTTTACACTTTTGAAGCAAATATCTTATGATCCAATTATTTTTAAATAGTAAACCAATATTTGATGTTACTTATGCTTGCTTAGTCTCGTCAACAAGACTTTGTCAGCCTGAATGAATCATTATGTGAGTTGCCCTGGAACCTTGCCTTTCCATCATACACCACCCTCACAGGAGTCGTTTTAGATTCTTTGGTCACCGTAAAGTGTGACACTTGACGTGAAACACCTCGCTTCAGTTGCTCCGTCATTTGCTCACAGTACACTTTCTATTCCGCACTTCTGTTCTCAAATTGTCTTTCTAGAATCCTTTGCGTTTTCTTCCAAGGTTGCATATTGTATATGTTCCATCTGGAAGTTGGGTCACACTCTGATTAATTGCCTCTGTTGCGTTGCGGTCCATCAGATCTTCAGAACATTTACACTTCTTTGGCTCTAAACTTAAGGCAGATAAAGTGTTTGATTGGTCCTACGGCAGACACATTGATATAGTTGGCCAGTGCTGATGTGGTGGATTGTCCTCCTTGGATGAACCACCCGAAGGGACATTTTACGGCGACAGGCTCACTTGCATTTTCACCACGGATATAATCATGCAAAATCATCTAGTGCGTATTATCAACGCCAAGTAGTATGTCAATGATCGGAGATGGAGCAAGATGTATATCGACTTCACTCGGGAATGCTGCTGTCTGTGTACTACAGGTTCATCAATTTCCTGTGATTGTAATTGGATGTGACCAAGTTTCGTTTATATCTTCAATGTAGCAATTCAACAGTCGTAATTTCCTAAGTTGTTATCTTTTTACCAACAACTAGGCTCAGATCATGGTCCCAATAAACATCTTGATTTGTTCGTTGAAAAATTCCTGCTCTCAAGAGTGTTGCCTGACTACGACCATCCAGTAAGATAATCAATAAGCGACGGGTGTTACCACATCTAAGGTATCCCTTGACAGTGAGTAGAGTCACTTGTAGTTTACTCTTCTCGTTATAAGTGACTGTGTTTGACTGCTTGCAACACTATGTGAATTGGCTGGATGAAAGGGTTGAGCAGTATAATTAAATGTTGGTTTTTTTCATGGTGGAGGTTATTCGCACGGCAGGCCGTGCGAATGACTTCAAAACTGTTATTCGCACATCCTGCCGTGCGAAAAAGTCTAAAACAGTTATTGGCACGGTAGGCCGTGTTTCATTCGCATGGTTAGGTAGATTGTAGTGACAGGCTACTGGGAAACCAGTGGAGTTGTCTGATGGATTTTTTGTGATTATTAAATGGGAGGCGGAATTTAGTGCCAGTCTCTCCAATGTAATTACCAATTTGGCATTTGTTACAAAATAAAATGTAAATAACGTTAGAATCACAAGTAAGTGGAGGGGGTCTAATAGTAATATTAGTACTAGGAATAGTGAATGTGTCAGAGGTGCACATGAAATTGCAAACTTGACATCTGGGTTTACTACATTTAATGTTACCAGAAGAGTGGGAATTCTTAAGGAGTTTAGAGGATGAGAGAATAGATTTCAAAATGAGGATCTTCAAAAAGGTGGCAAATAGATTTATCTTTATTGAGAATTTTATAGTCAGTTTTAAGTTGGCGGGTAAGAGAACTTATATTGGGATGGTATATAATTATATATATATATTGTATTATAGTAAATATAAATATATTACAGTATATTTATTTTTTTATCTATATATATAATATATATATTAAAATATATTAATATATAAATAAATAAACAAATATATAAATGAATATATAAATATATAAATAAATAAACAAATATATAAATAAACAAATATATAAATAAACAAATATATATATATATATGTATATAAATGAATAAAGTATAAAGTATATATATAAGTAAATATACTTTGTATATATATATATATACGCATATATATATATACAAATATAAATAAACAAATATATAAATAAATATACAAATATATAAAAAAGATATACATATGTATATAAATGAATAAAGTAAATATAAATATATTACAGTATATTTATTTTTTATCTATATATCTTTACTTATTTATTTACTTTTTAAAAATATGCATGAAAATACCGCGACTGAAATTATTGGATACCTTGCCGTGCGAATTACCATTTTGAAGTTATTCACACGGCCGGTCATGCGAATAACTGTTTTGTAGTTATTAGCACGGCCAGCTGCCGTGCAAACAACCGTTTTGGAGTTGTTCGCATGGCCTGCCATGCAAATAACCATTTTGGAGTTTGCCGGTCGTGCGAATAACCGTTTTGGAGTTGTTCGCACAGCCTGCCGTGCGAATAAGCATTTCCTTATATAATAATATTATAATTATATATAATTTACTGTATATGAAGTGTGCAAACAACCGTTTTGGAGTTGTTCGCATGGCCTGCCATGCAAATAACCGTTTTGGAGTTGGCCGGCCGTGCGAACAATATAATTATTTATAATTTACTGTATATGAAGTTTATACTCGTTTAAGCTTTATGAGGACAGTTCAATGCAAGTTTGTACCATATAGGGCCTATTGTGTGTCTTTGTATATGTTCCATCCTAGTGGAGGTTCTATCTCTTTTGAATATAAATTAAATACTGTAGGCTTACTTTAATTAATTTATTATTGCCCACTTGAATTGTATAGGACTTGGTGCTGCAGTGTTCTGTAGAGCGCCATATACATGCTTGATGTGATCATTCTGGTCCGATGGGCACCTCCAATTTCAAGCAAGCGTCGCAGATTCTTCGGTTACTCTGGAGTTAGGTTGTATATGAGAATGAAGAAGATAATTCTGATAGCAACATTGATTTATTGCTTTAAGGATAGCCTGGGTTCCAGGCCCTAATTTATGTTACTCACTCTTTATTGCACTTAGTGCGCGCCATACCTAATTTAATTGGCGTCCCATACTCGATTTCTTTTTTTTATTCCGTCTATAAATTAAATTTCTCGTTGGTGGCGCTGTCCAGAATGAGAAAAATAAAAAAAAATAAGAGACTTGTGGCAAGTCTACTTTAAGGACTGCGACAATAACATTCAGAGGCAAATTTAGAAAGGATACATAAAAAAGTATTTATTAAACTTTTCATAGGTTTGTTTTAACGCCAGTGTGTGTTACCTAACTATGTAACTTTCATTCTAATTTAAGAGAGCCACGGATTTGCCAATAACAGGCCCTTAACTATTTTTTGCTATAGCATAGTTACCAACCTGAGAGATATTTGAAATGCGTGAGTGACTACACCGTTTGGCTGGGGGAAGGGGAGGGGACCATAGGCAGAGCCCTGCTGGCAGTGGCGTATCTAGCAGTATTAAAATGGGGGGACTGGTGGGGGGAACGACCAAAATATGAGGGGGCGTGGAATTTATGTTCCGTGGCCACGCCCACTGAAAAATATTGCTTCTTAGATTCCCGAATACACGTTAACCGTGACAGCATAAGCATAAGCCTAGCCTAATTTTTTTTGCTTCGAATTTTTCGAATGGGGGGGGGGCACCTGGGGGGCTGTCTCTTATACACATCTAATTTTCAATGAAAAAAAGAGTGTGTTTTGACAATACCAGGTACATAAGCAAAAATATTTTGAGTTTCAATGTAATTGAGCACGAACTATGTTGACCTAAACATTTCACTGATAAATTTTTAGTAACGCGTCAGTGAAATAAATATTCAAATATTCAAGTACTCTCTAATGACTCAAGTTACTGCATGATCATTTATGTTTTTTAATAAAACCGATTTCATTTAATTTTAAATACATTTTCACCTGTATTTCTGATAATTCGTTATCACGTATAGATTTGTCCTAAATGCATGACAAATTATGGATCACGCATGTGTTTCTGGAAAATGCGTGTTTCATCCAATATCACTTTGAAATGCGGGACCGTCCCGCAAGATGCGAGACAGTTGGTAACTATGCTATAGATCGACTAAAATGTACCTTAATATTTAATACATTTAAATCAAATTTAGATCAATCTTAATAATGTGATTTTAAATAGCAGAGGCGGATTTAAGTGTGGGGGGGAGGGGTGTAAAAAAAAGAAGGAAATAATTGTGATCGCCCAAACGCATCAGAGGTAATTTTCCAGCGTCTAGAAAACAAAATTTCCTCCAAGATGGTGTTATCTTGATCCCCCCTTTTCGGCCCCGGTCCCTCCCCCTTTCGGACATCTCTGGATTCACCCCTGAATTGGCCTACATGCCAGCAACTAAAGAACATAGGCTATTTAATATTATGATGTAGCTGGGCATGTATTTTATTTTGATAATTAAAAGAAGAAAAACAGTGGAAGTTTAACATTGTTCTGTGTGTATCATTTGAATTTCTTCAATTTCAAACAAATGACCGCTGATTTTCGTTTAATTTTTGTAGTATTTCAAATGAATATGTACCCACTGTTGTCTTCTAATCGAATTAAATCTGGCCGAATTTTGGCCGATATTGAAAAAAAGTTTAGCCGAATTTGGCCGTGTGATGGCGTGTGTTTGGCCGTGAAGCCTGTCGACTATCTGGCAACCCTGGTTGATACTGCAGCAGCATTATTTTTTGATGAGGGTTTGCTCTCCGCTGCAGGAGCAACAGCAATTGACTAGCCATTTGACCAGACCAGTAAGAGTGTGCTCTGTTTTGTTGTCCCTCACACTTTCATATTAAACTATTCTGTGTTCTTCTGCTTGTCTCTGTTTTATTTGGCTCTTCGATGCTTCGATTCCAGATTGATGTCACCTTCTTTTAGCATGGCTTTCCATCATGGACAAATTTCTTGTCAATTGCCCTTTGTGGTTTCATCTGCCAAGCTTCAATTTGTTGACGTCAGTTATTTTTAGCCATTTGTGAAATTCATGAGTTGTTGAAATTCTTATTAAGCTGTGAGTATGAGATAAAGCACGTTGTTGCAATGAACCATGACCATTGATGCCACAGGTGTTTAGCATCAAATCACTTTATGCTGCTCTATGTCTAACAGTTGTGGTGTGTATATTATTCAACAACTGTGTATGGTTCCTGTAAGAAAAGGAAATAAACTTGTCTTATATTATAGAATCTATAGGTATTATCATTCTAGTTGTTTTTAATTAGTTTTAAACAAGGATAAACATTGAACTTGATAATATCAAATCAAACACTTTAACAGCACCCTCTTTGGTGCAGCTTACTCGGATCATTTTGGAAAAGACTAAATCCACCAGCCAAGAGGAACATTGTTTAAATATTCATCAGAATAATTATTTCGTCATCAGAAAATTGTCTCGTAAGTGGTTCGACTCAACACATTCTGCGGTCGGCCTCGTCTCACACCCCAATGTTGTTGTTTAGGTTCAGTGTTTCGTATAACAAAATAAGGAATACCTAATATTGCAGTAAAGAAGTCAATTGCCTTGGAGCAGATTTATTGTAGTTTCAGTTTTATTTCATTACTGTTTTCGTGTTACAGCCACCGTAAACACATTAGGATAAGTTTGATCGTCGCTAATTCATTTAATTCAATTTGGAAACGTATGATTTTCAGCTATTTTTTCGCACCTTCCTCTTCACAACACCACCTCTATTTGTCTGATTTTCACCATTGTTCTTTTATCCTATTCCAAATTTAATAATTGTATAATTTTAATTTTAATACACAAGGTTGCCAAATTTCGTCGCACTGTAGTTTTTCAAATATTCCCGTGTAAATTCTACAGTTAGAAATGTGGCGAATTACGCCCAAAGTTTCTATGTAGCAGCTCCGCTGATATATGGTTGATATTCAACATATAACACGTTATATTTTCATTGCGGATTTTTTGGGTTCAGTACGGACTCTAAACATATGCATTTTCTTTTAGTTTTAAGGCGTATGCGGATTTTATAAGTCCGCAATGACGATATAACGTGTTATATGTAAAAATCAATTTCAATGGTTAGTAAACGACGTTAGACTTTTTATTATGTAATCAACCAATAGCAAGTTAGATAAGAAGTCAATGCTTTTGAATAGCGAGCGAATATTCAACCTTATTTTCAAGCAGGAGCTTAATTTTGGAGTTAAAATTTATAATGTTATTTGTGTTAAATTGTCTTGAAATATTATTTTGATTTTTTTGTTTGTGCTTTGTGTAGGTGAATGTATAGATATAATTTTTAATGTACAGTATTTACATAACAAATATAGTAGTTATATTCTGTTAGGCCCACAGATTCTCCTCGGCAGAGCTCCGGTTCCAGGTCTGATGATCAGACCATACCATTTTCAATGGGTCATGCAAGTGTGTGGTAGAAGCATCTGTAATAGGCATATTTGTGCACTGTTAAAAAATATACTGAAATATAATATTAATTTTAACTCTTTGTTTATTACTCAAAACTATGAGCCTGCACCTACTACTTCCTATACCTTTACATAAACTAAATATCCCTACTTTACAATGGTACATTTTGCACGCTTTAAAGCCAGGCTCCGGAAGAAAAATTTGTGTTGATATGTTGTACAACTGATTTTTCTGAGAAACAAATTGAGATACAGCTTTTTGAATATTTGAAAACGACGGGGAGATGGGGCCCTTTTTTCACCTTGTACAACATATGAAACAGATTTTTTTCCTCCGGAGCCTGACTTTATCGACCAGACCTGGCCACAGACACAATGTGTGACGGTCATAAGTATATTACTACATGTGTGACATAATTGACTGGATTGTATTGCGCAAATAATTGTAAATAATTGAAAATTATAGCGATATAAAATAATAACAACATATAAATATTGAGAAAGACATAGTGGCACATATCTGCGACAAAACATTGAAAGAGGCGTGAATATCTGGTGCTACTTTGTTTACGTGTATGCGTCCTTCTGAAATGACATTGTGAAAAAGTGCCGGCCGGGACTAATTTAAATCAGTTTAATTATTAATTAATGACGCGATTTTAGAAAACACCACATAGCCTATTACCTGGCCAGTACCAATCTGAACATTTGAGTGAAAATTTGGTTTAAATCGGCTGAGTAACAAAAGAGAAAATCCCGGACACACAAACCCCAATTTGCCTTTTATATATACCGGTAGGCCTATAGATTATTTTATAACTAACATATTTTAACTTTGAAGTTAACGTTAAAATACCAAATTATGAATGAATAAGAATTCGTCAATGTTTACAAATTTATATCTTTGATTTTCTATTTGGATGGATGGATGGATGTGGTATTACCTCAATGTCAGTACAGTAATTGTTGTTGCTGCTTACAATTGTACAAGTCGACCTTCCCATTTACGAACTTCTCATTTACGAACCTTCTATTTTACGAACGCTCGGCCGATGACGTCATCACTAGATTTATTCATCTTATTATGCTATTTTTATTTATTTTAATTAAGAAAAACGAATTACAATTAAAGGTCATTAAAAATTGCATAGTACTAGTTATACAGTAAATTCTATAAATACATCATACTACTTTAGGCTTAGAAAAGTCGAACCAATACATGATGTAAAATAATCAAATCTAGGCGAAATTCGGGCAGGCAGTGCATGCTGCTACAGTGCTAGGCCTACCTTGTCTAGGCTAGGGGAGGGCAAGGCTGGGCAGCCTATATACCAGATGGGGCCTACCCTAGTCTGTCTTATGGTTAACTGCAGTCTAAATGCACTGTAAATCAAATCAGCTAGCCCGAGTATAAATGTATGGTAACATCAACCTTTTATCCTTTTAAGAATAAATCACTGTTCGGATATTCAATAAGCATCTGTATTAATTATTTGTTTTTCACTGAAAAAAAACGATTAGCAAGCTGCTCTATTTTTAGAAGATGACATCAGCAATTACCCACCATTCAACGCTACATACAGGTACCAAAACCACATGTTTGGAAGTCAGGAAGGTCGGAAAAATAGGAACAGTTTCTTTTTTTAATTTATACAGAAATACCTTGACTTAAATAAATAATAAGCCCAGTGCTTTTAATACAAATTAATATCAATGTTTCTTGACTAATTTGCTATAAATTACGGACAGAGGTCTAGCTATATAGTTAGCAGACAGCTGCTGCTAGGCCCAGCTAAACCTTGGCTAAACCACCACACTTGAACAGTCAACATATAGTGACATGGAAGATTAGGTCGGTCTATCCATGGAACGATTTCTTTAGCCTATTATGAATCGATATTTATTATATTAGTTTGTCTTGTATTAACATTTAATTGATTCTTCAACGATTTCTATAAATGTTTATTGAACACTTAAATGCAAAATTAAGCCTAGATATTGGTAGGCAGGCCTAATTATAGGCTACAACTTGGCGTTTTTAAACATGAGGGCGCTATTCTTACGAACTTCTCATTTACGAATTTTCTCAAGTACGAACTGCTTTCAGCCCAAGGTGTACGTAAATGGGAAGGCCGACTGTACAACTATTAAAGCCCCATTCCCGGCAAAATTTCAATTTTTAAGAAAAATCTAATTTTTGTATAATGTTATAAAGATTTATAAATATACGGAATTGCTAGTTTAACTGAATTTAGACATTCCTAAGAATGAAAAAAATGTAATATAAGACTGAAATTTGATTTTTTGTGTTCCACACAAAAAATAAATGCGGATGAATTTTTCATGTTTGATTTTGCGATAGGTCGTGAGAAGAAATATCGTAGGCACCGAAAACATTAGCCTATCCAACGCTGCTAGGCTAGGCCTAGCCTTACCTCGATTGTGGTTCTGTTATCACACATAAAAACGGCCGACATGATATTTTCCGTTGCTAGTATTGACACTTGTGAAATATAATATTTCATAGGAATTATTTCAAATTTGTTAAAAAACTGATTCTGACTGAGATTTTGACACTTAAACAAATATATCTCAGCCTAACCGAACGACCGCATTGTGCGAGATGCGAAGTACAAAAACTAATCTCATTAGATAGGGCGCACTTTATTGACTGTATAAAGTATACATAAAAGCGAGAGTATTCCAGTGGATGCGATCCACAACCTCTGAATTTGCCTAGTAACGATGAATTCGTCGAGAAAATGGTAATATTTTATGAGAAATAGTCTGTATTTTTTATTCTTTTGCGTAAAACTAAAATTCATGCCAATATTTTTCCATGATTTATAATAATTGGAGTAATGCAAATGCATATTTTCTAAAAAAAGTCAGTTTTTAGTGAAATTTTGCCGGGAATGGGGCTTTAAGTAAAAAACAGCAGCACTTTTGAGACTAACAATATATAATTTATTCTCTAGCTTTCGTCCACACAGTGGACTTCATCAGGAGACTGTACAAATGGGATAAGAAACAACTATAATATACAAGAGACAGCAACTATAATATACAACTGAAATAATGGGGGCGGTCCTAAAACAACAAAGAATGGTGTACAAAGCAAGTACAAGTCTGCCGAAATAAGCAATCTAAATAAATAGTATTAAAAGAACAAAAGATCAATAATAAGAAACTGTGGGAAATAGCATACAGAATAAGTCTATGTCAAAGTCAATGATAAAAACAGTAAATAGGCAGTAAATACTAAGGTAACTCTGAGACAAAAATACAGTTAATAATACAACTATTGTAATTACCACAATGTCTCAGTAGGTCATGGCTTTGAGTCCCATCCGAATTACTCTTGATTTTTTCTCAATTATTTGGGAACGTACTGACTATTTGGTACGATAACAGGTCACTCCTGTGACCTGTTATCGTACCAAATCGTATGTTATCGTATCGTATGTGCTAATTATTTTCTTAAATAACAATATATTGTATTCATGATGATAATTAAGCTTATATCATCTAATCGTTTTCCACTTTTGGCATATAGCATGAAATAGCTTCCTCTCAAATGTTTGAACATCTGATCAAAGTTAACAAATTAGAAGAAGCATTTGAAGACGAATTTGGTGAAGATTGTAGTCAAGTTATACAATTTATCAAAGAACTTATCCATTCGCAAGAGGTGAGTTAATATTTTTTGCTGAGAATACCACATATAACTACACTTTCGTGGCTTATGTGCAAGGTTTCTCTACTTTCTCAGTATTTATTTATTTAGTATTATTTATTAGTTATTATGTTGTCCATAAAAAAAAAATGGTCGTAATATAAAATTATTACCTGTAATATGAAATTAACTACCTGTAAATAATTTCATATTTATTAATTAAAATGAGACAAGTGGCCATATATTGCTTATTTAACCTTTCCTGAGTTCGGGAAAAATACTGAAAAAAATTCAAAATGTTGAGATGTAACGATAAAACAGAAACAAAACATGATATGATGAGACAGGAAAATCAGGTGAAAACGAGGCTGATCACTTTTTTCAGTAGCTTGGTAGCATTTTCTAACCAACTCATTAATATTCAAGAAGTCTGTCAATTAATTTTTGGCGAGCAGCTGATCGAAAATTCGTCCCAATGATCGAGCGACTAGCCCGACTAGTGTGAAGTCGTGAGTTTTTGTGATCATTTACATACGCAGTTACAGAGACGGTTTAGTCAACGTCAATTCAATCATGGAGGAATAATTCAATTGGATTAATAAACGTATATCAGTCCGATGACTTGTTTGTTTATAATTAGGCCTGCCTAGGATTAGCACAGTCAGTGTCTACCCAGCAGCAGTAGCGCACTCCTGTCCGGGACACTGCTCCAGTCCCGCAGCAGGTGAGTTCGCACGCAGCCTTATCCAGCTGACGGTAAAGTTAGGTTTCTACTACTAGCATAGCCTTGACTTGTCATGCCATGCCATGGCGACTTTGTCACATTAATTGTGTTAGTGCATTTTTTTTCATAATAATAGAACTAGGCCTCTAATAGGCCTACTAATAATAGTAGTATATACTATAGGCCTAGTTATAGGCCTGGTCCTATGAAAAACTGTCTAGGCCTAGGACTAAATGTCTAAAAAATGCACTGTCTAAATAAAGGTGATGTGCAATAACACTACAGTATATCATCAGAGTCAACACCAATTCCTGTAACAATAAGATTATTATTGATATACTGTAGGCCTAGAAGCTAGGCTACACAACAATAACGCCCCATTAAATAATAACATGTTGCATATTATTATGTTACTCCAAACCTAACTTTCAGCTGTTGTTGAAATGTGGAATTCAAATAAAATATATATATATATATATTTTTGTAGGACAAGATATGTGATAGGCCGAAACATGACACTCTCCTCACATAGGTATTTGCCAGTCGCCATGATGAGACAAACATACCACAACATTTGCCATGAGTACAACCACCCAACATTGGCATCTACGAAAGAAGGTGGTACAAAGCATACAAGCACCCAGCAAGACGTTAACACTCTGGTTGTTTGCTGAAACTTGTAATGAAAGCTACACACAATTTAAGGTGAGCAAAAGAAAATTATGTGAATATCTCATCACTGTTCAGCCAGAGTACATGAAACAAATATATTGGAATGGTAAAAAAATATCAGAATGGTGTGTCAGTTTTTTTAAGAAACAACAATAATACATTACACACTAGCAGACAGGAAGGCTTCAATCAAGTAATTAAAAAATCTGAAAATACTGTCAATTGATGAATGTCTTTTCAGATTAGTACATACAGTATCTCAGTATCTAGATGTGTATAAGAGACAGCTTGACTTAATAGATCGAGTACAGTACAGTATGTAGTCTTTGACTAGTTTAAGTGTCTGCATTAATTAATAATAACAAAGTGCATTTTGGGAACCAAATAATCATTTTTCCTGGTTACTAATTTAGATCCAACTCCTTCATAATCTGTTTAAATGAATGTTCTGAACAAATTGATACCACAATTAACTGGCTACCACCAGTGGTTACGGAGATATGAGAACCTGTAAATATGACCCGGAGATGTGTCAAAGGTCAGAAATGGCATGTCCTGTCATTTTTGTGGACATGATGAAATGGACATGTCCAATCCATGGTTAGCAGAAGGTGGCGATGCTCAGAGCTCTGCAGCAAGTGATTGAGGCCAAAATATTTCCAAAGAATTAAATTAAAATGATTTATCTAGTGATTTTTTTTTTCTGAAGATATACTGAAATGCCACGCACTTAAGTTTTTGTTTTTTACGCATCTGGTTTATATTGCATGCCAAATTTATAATAAATAAATAAATACTGTACCAGTATTACTGTACCTGTTTCACTTGCAAAATATCTTTAATATTATTAAATGTTATTATAATCCCATTCAATAGTAATCCTTTTGAAGCAAATATGTGACCCAGATTTAGAAAACAAATTGTGACGATTAATTTTAAAATATGTATTGTATATATATATATAAAATGTGGCTCAATATATACAGGAACAACTATTTTAATGTATGGCTTTGTACAGTCTTGTGTAAAGTTATTCTATGAAACTGCTTATTTTTTAATGCCTGGATTATGCCTATGTCTGCATGCTGATCAATTTGGTATTGGAATTTAAGAGGAAGCTTCAATTTTTTTGCTGTACACCATTTTTTGTTTAGTATTTTAAAATACAGTAGTTGAACTTGCCTATGTCATATCCAAAATGCCATTGAGAAATTTTTGACCCTAACAAAATTTGACTTGCACTTACGGTAATGGAAAACACAACAATTCGATCGACTTAGAAATTATTAGAGTATATTATTAGTCGTCTGAGGCAAGTTTAACTGCACTGCTCTATTTATGATGTCTGATTGTCTTGTATTATTTACCATAGCCAAGATTTCTTCTTTCATGATGATATTCAACATCCATATTTTTGGTGTTTCACTTAGTTATTGTGGTACATACAGTAAATTCAAGACTACTGGTGTTACTAAATAAATATTTTGGAAACACAATTAGTCATCCTTGTACATGGCAAATAATTTATTACAAGTGTATTTTCTCACAGTTAATATAAAATTGTTTTACTGTACACAGAATAAAGCAACATTAAAGCAGTCAAGTATTACAATATATATCACTGCATTTTACACACTCTATTTATTATCAAAATATTAAATATATGGATCTATAGTTACTATAGTTTATACCAATGTAAAGAATAGGGAAGAACAAGTTACATTTATTTACTGTACACAAAATTCTAATTCATACTGTATTAGCTTAAAATTTTAAAATATGAGACGAGAGTGGGGAAGATACAAAAAACAT